CTTTCGCAGGACCTGACAAGGCTTCTCGTACAGAACGGGGCTCATCATCCCCTTCTGGAGTAACTAAGAGAGATTCGCCTTCTATTTGAAAGCGTCTTTTGGGAACACTTTCCCTGTTACTCCTTCTGACGGGAGCTATTTGCTTATCTTTCTTTCTTTGTTCAGGTCTTGGTGTTGACCTTTCTTGGCTCCCACTCAGATTGACACACCTAGACGATTCTGGTCTGTCAATTTGTTCTGCACTGACTTGTTCCTGTGTCTCATAAAGAGATACAGTGCGGTCAACATCTCCTCTATTAGGAAATTCAGTCTCAATGAATGTGGCATCTCTTGATTCCATTTCAGTCACTGTTCCATCTTCGTTTTCACCTATGAAAACATATCCTTTAGATTGTTCAGAGTACCTTATAAAGATACATTTCTTTCCTCTAGGACCCAATTTCCCATGCTTGTGGGAATCATCATGAACATATGCCGCTGACCCCCAGGGTCTTAGGACACTTAGATCCGGTTTGCGTTTTGTCCATAATTCATAGGGTGTGGAAGCGACTGATTTTGAGGGCACACGGTTAAGTATGAAGGTTGCCGTTAACAAAGCATCACCCCAATATGAAATTGGTAGGTTTGCTTGAGCCATCATAGACCTAACCATGTCTAGAAGAGTTCTATTCCTCCTCTCAGCCACTCCATTCTGTTGTGGAGTGCCAGGGATAGTCAGTTGTCTAATTATCCCTTTTTCCTCACAGAGCTGTTTAAATTGATCAGATAAATATTCACGACCTCGATCAGTACGTAATGCTTTAATTTTACTATCTATTTGATTCTCTACCTCATTTATGTATCGTCTAAAGCACTCAAGTGCTTCAGACTTATGCGAGATCAAATAGACATGACCATATCGTGAAAAATCGTCAATAAAGGTAATAAAATACCAAGCTCCGTGTCTCGCCCTCACACTCATTGGACCACAATATCAGAATGGATTAATTGCAATGGATTTTCAGCTCTTGTTCCCTTACCGAAAGGTTTTCTAGTTGCCTTACCAGCTAGACAATTTTCACATAAGGACATTTCCATGTTAGGGATTGTGCCCAACATTCCTTCTTTTGCTAGTTTAATCATTCTATTTTGATTAATATGTCCTAGTCTAGCATGCCAGATATTCATATCAGGATTGCTTGAAGAAATAGCAAAACAATCATGAGCGTTAAAACCAAAAGCAAGATCCATAACAAAAAATTTCTGGAATCTGAATGCTGAACCATAAAATTCAGAGTTGAAGGAAATGTCTGCAACTTTATCATGAAAATAAACATTAAACCCAAAGTCTACTAAGCAAATAACAGAAATTAAATTCCGTCGGATGTCGGGAGCATGAAGCACATCATGGAGTATCAAGGTCTTTCCACCACGCAAAGCAAGCTTGCAGGTGCCAATGCCTCGAACCTCGATTCTCGCATTGTTCCCAACATAAAGCCACTTGCTTTGATACGGAAACCGATGGTATTCCACGAAGGATCCCCGATGCCTGCTTACGTGGTCTGTGGAGCCTGAGTCTATAATCCAAGAAGAAGAAACAGGTTCTGTTAGAAAAACAGTACTAGAAACATATGAAACATGTGAATTCACATAATTCACTAATACCTTTTCGCTTTCAGCCTGTTTGGAACAGTCACGTGCGAAATGGCCTATTTGTTGGCAGGCGAAGCATTTGACCTTCTTCAGGTCTAGCTTCTTCTTCCCGCCTTTCTTTCCCTTCTTCTTAAATTGTTTCTTGCCCTTTTTAAATTGAGGACCGCCCTTCTTCCCTTTCTTTTGGGGCTTCTTGCCCTTTTTGAAATTGGGCTTAGATTGGGAAGTACCAGCATCCTCAGTTAAATAAGTCTGTCCAGAGCTCTTGTAAGCCTCTAGACGTTCATCTTCCAGCTCCAGATGCTTAGCTACATCGTTAAAAGTGATGATGTTTTCATTGTGGGTTAGGTTGACTTTCATGTGCTCCCAACTTGCAGGGAGCGACCTGATGACAGCCTGCACTTGCTGCTCATCAGACAGATTATGTCCAGCTTCCTTCAGTTCCCGGATCATATTGGCCATCTCTCTCAGATGTTGCTTCATAGGATTGTTTGACTTGAGCTTATAGGTATCAAACTTAATTGTCAACCTTCTAAGCTTGGTCGTAGAGACTCCGCCAAACTTATCCTTCAATGCTATCCACATGGCCTGTGTAGTTTTGTGCGACTCAAACTCACACATCAGGTCATCAGCCATGGAGCTCAAAAGCGTGATTCTTGCTATGCTATTCTTCTTTTTCCAGGTTAGATATGCCTCTTGGTCTCTCCTGTGCTGGTTTGTGTTGCCAGCCTCAGGTTCAACCATAGCAGTGGTGAGAGGCTCTATTGCATCCTGTTCCTCTAGGATATACTGGACCTTTCGGTGCCAGATGTCCCAGTTGTCCCCGTTAAGCTTTTCTCCCTTGTTCAATTTAGCAATTATGTTCTTGGTTGCCATTCTTAGTTCTGTGACAAATCTATCCCACATTAATCTATGTTCTCTTTGAAGAGAACCGAACCAAAGAACATTTCAGTTATATAGCACAATGAAGTATACAATGTAATGTGCCTATATTATCCTCGATCAGTAAATAATGAAATTACAAGATCTATGATCAAGAGAATACGTTTGTACCTCCCATCACACAGATACTAGCAATAATCATCATGTCCTATCAAGAATTTTATATAAGCACTTCAAAGATTGAAACCTTTAGAAGTCTCATCTTCTAAAAGCTCCCACTTATAAAAGGCATACATATGATATTCATAAATAATCATACAACAATAATTCAAGTAATTTCATTAAATGAAATAACATACTTAGTCTGTTTACAATGCATGAAATCACAAATTCATGGCGAATACAAATATTACATCATTTGATATGAACATAAATGTAATCAAGCATTGCTTTTCTTAGGCTTCTAAGTTTACGCGTTTTGTTCATAAAGGAGGACACTAGCTCTATGGCCCAAATCCAGTAAGACTTTCTTATGGGTTTGCCTTTAGGTTCGCCTCTAACTCTTATTGCTCTTATGTACTCCATTATGACTCTAAGGTAGAATTCTGTATTCTTCTTATCGGTCATGTAATGGACGTAGCTAGCGAGCACACCATTGATGCCTTTTATGTTTGTCAATTTAGCTGCATCACTTTCAGCTATTCTCATAGCTAAAGCAGGGGTACAGGGTTGATCCACCTCTTCGCCTTCCTCTACTTCGGTTTTATTGGGAAGATCTAGTGAATCATTACAGACCAAATGAGGTTCGGTACGGAGGGGTTCAATGGGAAATAAAGATTCTGACTCAGGTCCAGAATCCATTAACTCCTCCAGGATTTCTTGAGGAACCTCTTCAGGGTCCTCTTCAGGATCCTCATCCTCTGGTTCATATTCTGGAACTGCATTATCCATGTATAAGTATTCCAATGAACCATCTTGGATATTTTCAATGCTACTAGAAGCCTCTTGCTTCATTTTCACCTAGAACAAAATAATTTAAATTATTTTGAATATTCTGGAATTTATTTCCGCATGAAAAATACCAGAAAATACACTGAAAATACTCACAAATAGATCCTTAATTATCTCCAAAATTATCAAATTATATATCAAAATAAAATCTTGATTTTACGGATTTTTAGAGACAAATCGCACCTCAAACGGACCTTTCACGCGCCTACACGCGCCCCTAGAAGGAAAAATTAGCGAAAAATTGAAGAAAAAATTTTTCTCACTCGCTTAGTCGGTGCGTGTACTACACGCGCCTCCATGCAGCTCGCCGCAGGCTACACACGCCGAACCGGCGGCCTCCACGCGCCACGACCTGTCAGATGGTGGTCCCCACGTGCCAAGGTGGGGTGCCACGTGGCAGAACGCGCCACGTGGCGCTGCTTGGTCAAAACAATTTTTTTTTAAATTCGTTTTTTTTTCAGACAGGCCCTTTTAAAAAAAAAAAAAGTATTTGGACCGGTTGGGTTTGGGTCCATTTCGGCCCAACCGGTTCCCTTCAAATTCCTTTTTTTTTTTATGATTTTGGTCTGGGCTGGATCCTGCCTCCAGCCCAGTACACCCCTTCCTTTTTTTTTTTTGGTCTGGGCTGGATCCTACGTCCAGCCCAGTAAATACCCTTTTTTTTTTACAGGAGGGGCCAAAACGACGCCGTTTTGGCCCCTGGAGGTCTCCTTCAACCTCTAGCCGAGTCGCCTTGACCCAGCTTCTGCAACCGGGTCGGGTCCGACGGATCCGTCGGACCTGGTTTCTTCTCTCCTCCGTATCTTCGCCGTTCGGTGTCCGTTTTTAGTGTACTTTATATCATTTTCTTCGTTTTTCCGAGCTCTACGCAATGGGATAATTTTTGAATCCAAAAAAAACTTCATTTCGAGACACCCAAAAACAAAAACGTACGGCCGAAAATAGATACTGTATAAAACGATTTTCACAGAGGCAGAGAAGCAACCCAATATGTCTAAATATAAATATAAGACACAAAAACTATCATACTGAAGGTAAAATGGAGGATTTGCATAATTTATTGAAGCAAATCACAAGTTACTCAGACCGAACAATCAGAAAAAAATACTGATATGAAAACGTAGGCCACAGAATCAACAAGAAAAATCACATGCTCTGATACCAATGAAGGATTTCGGGCATACCTAGAGTCTGCAATGTAATCATGTTGCCACGCGGAGGTCCGATCACGGTGACGAAATCGGATCTGATAGACACAGCAAATGCACCGGAGAGAGAGTTTGGAGAGACGGAGAGAGAGACTTGTGGAGGAGAAAAAAACGCATAATGCTACTGCACAAAACTGATCCCTTTTGATCAGTTTCGTAACTCCTTGTTTATTCAAACAAAAACCGTCTCAAAACCGTCTCCTCTGCACAACCGTTCCCGCCTTTTGGCAAAATATATTAAAGGGCAAAAATTACAGTTAAGGACCCATGAGTTTTGCTATTTACATTGGAGTCCCAAATGATATTGGGCTCGGGTCCAATCCACCAAGGGTGGACTGGCCCATTTTCCTACATCCTCCGTGGTGGACTTTTCCCACCACGGGACGTCATCTTCCTCTTCCTCCTCAGGTAGAGGTCCTTCGGCCAGGTTGTCCGGTACAAAAAAATCAAGAAGAATTCCCTGCTTGTCCATTGGTTCCGAAAAATAATCGATCTCCTGCGCTTGTTCTGCTTCTGCTTCCTCCTCCTCTTGTTCTGCTACTACTTCCTCCTCCTCTTGTTCAGCTTCTGCTTCCTCCTCCTCCTGGTCTTCGTCTCCATCACCACCAGTCTCATCCCCCTCCTGTTCGTCCCTGCCGCTGCCGGCATCGCCCGCATCAGCGGGCGCCTCCTCCTCTGATGGCTCCCCCTCCGGCGCCTCCTAATCGGGCGCCTCCTCCTCCGGCGCCTCCCCCTCCTCCTCCCGCCTCCCCCTCCCCCTTCAGCACCTCCCCCTCCTCGTCCGGCTCCTCCTCATGTTGAAATAGGCCTCCGATGTAACTTGTATTAAATGTGGCAATTCGAAGCAAGTTCCTCGTCTGTCAAATTAATTCCACATGAGTCTGATGGAATTGAATCTACACTGGAACTTGATCGCAGCAGAAAGACAACGTAAAATCTATAACTACATTCTGCTAAGAGATCTGAATTCACTTAAAGAAATCAATTATGTCTATCAGAAAAATAAGCAGTGAGAAACAAACACAGGATTCGGATTAAAAAAAAAGAGAAGCTAACTAATATTACAAGAGGATAGAAAGTTACCAGAAGAAACGAATGGCGCTCGGTGATTTCAGCTTCCCTGACTCTCTGTGCAACGGCCTGAAAGAATGAAATAGAAATTTAGAATACACGATCAAATTGAAAAAACACTATGTTTCGTCGAAATAATTCTACACTGGCCACTATAGGCTACTCGTGGCATCAAACGAGACGCCTCAGATTAAGCTAGAACTTGATCGCAGCAGAAAGACAATGTAAAATCTGTAACTACATTCTGCTAGGAGATCTGAATTCACTTGAAGAAATCAACTATGTCTATCAGAAATCGAAGCAGTGAGAAACACACACAGGATTCGGATTAAAAAAAAAGGAGAAGCTAACTAATATTACAAGAGGATCGAAAGGTACGAGAAGAAACGAATGGCGCTCGGTGATTTCAGCTCGCCTGAATTGCTGTGCAACGGCCTGAAAGAATGAAATCAACATTTAGAATACACGATCAAATTGAAAGAATGCCATATTCAAAGAGGCTCCTGTTATCACCATGCTTTCGGCTGTGACTGCGAGAATTGACGGGAGAAGAGAACTCAAGAGTTTGCTCGATGCGGGGAAATTTTGAATGCAAATGGGCGCTATAGCCACTGGCTGGGTTGTTATTTATAGGCTAAGCATGGTGCCGCAAGCAATTCGTGCCCTGACCGCGAGCGCGAGGCGGAAGTCCTTCGGCCAGCTGGCTTGGCGCCAATTGATCAACGAATCTACCGTCTTTTTTTTTTATTTTTTTATACACAACACATTGTGTTTTGCAATTTGTTATTAGCATAATGTGTCATGTGTTCCCTGTGTTTGGTGCTTTTTTATAGCCGTAAAATGAAAGGCATCAAACACAGGCTCTACCGTATGATGCTTTTTGTATAAATTGTTAAATTGCAAAACATAATGAAGTTCTTTTCAATTTGTTATGATGTGTTCCCCGCCCTCCATCGCCAAAACAACACGGCCTCCTATTCGGCTTTCACTCATCAATCGGCGATTCCGAGCTGAGTTTGGTGCTTTCTCCGCAGAATCTCAACTTTCGTCGGTAAGGAAATAACCAGCTAGGTTTCCAATTTACGTCTTTCTCTTTCTCTTCTCCCCTTTTGTGTTTCTTTTTTGCGGTTTCCTCCCCTGTTCCTCCTTACCGTTGTCTATTCCTTTATTCTCTTTCCCTGTTCCATTCTTGGAGCCGGCGCCGGCTGATTCCGGTGTGACGCTACGACTTGTTCAAAGTACGGGCATTTCAAAACTTATCCAGAAGTATTCATCCCTGTAATTTGAGCAAAGAAATACCTATGAAATGCTACATATCTGATACGTACCTGATCCGCAGATGTATTTCTCTGTTTCAATTTGTAGTGTCTCATAGGTGCTGCTGCTCTGGTGTTGTGTGTTAGGAGTACTGTGAACGGGGAAGAGAAGGAGTTATAGTTGTTAGTAGTTGTTATTCTTTGGTATGACCAACGGACGCAATCTACCTGAGAGTAGTTATGTGAATTTATGGGATGAAGTTCTGAATTCTAAGTTGCTCTCTTTCTCCCATTCCTTCTATTCTTTCTTTCTTCTATCATTGTAAGGAATAGCAAAGGCTTCTAATAATGAACTCGCTTTCTAATTTGAGTATAGAGCAACTGGAAGCTCTTGAAGTTCTGAAGTAAAGATGGGTGATGAAGATGATTCCATCGAACAAGCTGCTGCATCACGTGGAGAAAGGCTGCGGGCTCTTAAAGCTGCTCAAGAATTGTTGAACGCTCCTGATGATGACACTACACAAGCTAATGATGAGACAAATGATGATGAAACTGTTGAAGAGTAGTATGTATTTTCTAATTTCTAACCCGAGAGTTATTATTCTCACTCCGTCTTCAAATATGTCTAAGCGCACAATTTGTGACTGAGAATGATGAATGTTTTAATTTTTAATTAGTAAATTTAACTGTTACTTCTTTTTTAATTTTTTTTTAACAGTTGGTGAAATAATTATATAAAAGCTGGGCTGGATAGTTATTTGAAATTTACAATTCTAATCTCTTTTATCTGCAAGTATATACAAAAATATATATACCTTTATATCTGACTGCAAGTGAATTTGTATGTTGATTCTGTGTACATCTAAATGGAGCATAAATTACTTTAGGTCATGTGTTCCCTGTGGTGATTTTATGGGATGGCAAGAACTCACACAACAAAGTAGCTCTGAGGTCAGATATTGACTCAATTTGTTAAAGAAAGTTGCTGGAAAATGAGAAGAGCCTTGCAGTTATTATTGTCTAGTTTGAGAAGATAAAAGTACTAGGGCGCATGTGGTAGGCTGCTAAAGTAATGCTGGTCAAAAAAAAAAAGCTGCTGAAGTAAGGTCGACGCTCCCTTTTTACTGGGCTCTTTTTGTTCCGGTCCGCTTCATCGTGGTCAGTCACAGTTACTCCCAAGGAGCGCTGGCCAGCACATTTCTCCCGTGTTCGGGTTTGGGTTGGGGATTATAATATATTATCCCAACTCATTAATATAAAAGTTAGATACCAAGAAAAATTAAGTCTAATAAAAAAAATTAGTCTTTCATAGTATGGTAAATCAAAATTCAAATATTCTCTAAAAATATGCCTATATTTAGTATCTCACAGTACCTTGAATATGATTGTCTCTAATAAGAAAATAGATATGCATAGTCAAAAAAAAGGTAGATAATTAATTTATAGATATCAGTAAAATTATTTAAGTTAGCTATTTATAATAAAAATATGTCTTTCTTAAAATATCTCTATATTCATAGTGTGCATTTGAATTATTTGTTGATAGTAACTCTCTAACATATACAATCAACGTAGGGATTACTTTTGTATAAAAAAAATATAGGGATTACTTAAGGGCAAAATGAATAATTACTAGAGACGAATTGAATCTTTAACCTAATCTTATATTAAGAATTGAAAGCAATACACTTCTATTCTTATTTACTACAAGACATTTAGAATACGTTTCATCATAATTACAAAATCTTAAATTTCATTTACCTCTTCTCTTATAATTTAATAATTTCCCAATGGGAAGCTAACCCAATAACACTACCATTCATCATGTTTTGATAAAGTATTGGATTTTAATTAACATGAGTTGAGTCTAATAGAATAGGTTAATCCCTTATAATGTAACGAATCAAAATTCAAATTCCTGCTGAGAGGAATGCCCACATTTAGTATGCGTGGAGCAGAATTATCTTTAATACGAAGATATTTGTACTTAGCAAAAAAAAAAAAAGATTTAAGCCCGGCATTATTATGCTTTGTACACGCTTGTTTAAAGGGCATGAACAAAAAAAAAAGTAATTATTGAGTAGATTAATTAAGTAGTTAATTAAAATCCACCTGCCCTTAGGTGGGTATTCCGCTCCACCATGTGAGACTTGGGAGTTCGCTTGCACGGTTGCACCACGCCTTAACTTCCAAACCACAACACTAGCACTTAAATGATCCTCCCTCCCTTATCAAAATAGAAGATAATAATGGGATGGCCTAGGATTAGGAAGAATGTTATGCCTTGTCCTGGATGTGATTAAATTATTATTAGTATTATTACTACTACCACTATTACTACTGCAGTTTCAAAGACGAGTGACATTGTTTATAATCTGTAAGCTGTATAGTTAATTAATAATAAATCATGTGTTCACATTGACACAATTGGGTCTTAATTCTCAACATATGCGTATGAACTGATATTTCAGGTATCATGCTTGGAGTTTTGGGTTATTTTCTGTCTTATTAGGAGAAGTATCATTTGTTTATAATCAATTGTTTATATCTGAACTAAATGGATTTTGGCCAACACACACACACACATATGTTCTAAATCAATTTTATTCATTTTTTGGTCTACATCCCTATTTCTAACCGATAAACCTTATATCTTAATTTTTTAAAAAAAAAAAAGCATACCACATGCAATTTGAATCCTTAATAATTGTTGGTTGGCCCAAGAAATACTTAATCGTAGTTCTATTTTAATTAGTTGGCACAATTTTTATATGTCTCATAAAATTTAAAATAAGTTTCATTATTTATATTTTTATAAATAATGCAGCCTGTATCAAGTTTTATACTTCATACTGAATGCGCATACACACATAATAAGTTAAATAAGATAAAAAAACAGTGAATATTTAATGCAAAGTTTCTATTTTTTTTTCTTTTGAGTTATTAATTAGATAAACTTAAAAAATTAAATTTAATTGATCGATTTGGCGTTAACTTATCCAATTTAATTAATTTTTAGATTCAATTTGTTCAGTTTATGCATGACTTTTTTTTAAGTGATTTTGAAAGATCAAACAAATCAAATTTATGATAAATGCACGGTTTTTTTTTTTGGCAAACCTGAATCCAAGTTAGAAGTCGTGAAAAGAAGTCAGTTTCCAAATTATCAAGTTAATTATCTTTCTCAAATTCTACATGAAATCAATATATTTTCTAGCCTTTAAATTAAAACTTGCCCTAAAAGTTTGTCAAAATTGGGGTGGTCGCAAGAGGAGGAAAAAATGTTAAGAGTTGAAAAAGGTTTATGAGCGGTTTAAGTTTGGTGGTTTTGAAAGTATGCCGTTACAATAGAAGTTTTTTTTTTTAAAGAAAAGTTTTTACCACAATCGTATTTTGTTCTAAAGACATAATATTTTCTGTTTGTTGCAATAATATTTTAATTTCATAAATTTTTTTTTTTGGGGAAAAATCAAC